TACTGAAAACCAAGGATGCAAAAAATATTTCTGCCGTGTAGTCTTTTCAGTGTTAGGATTGTGGTTAGTCTCTTCACATCCCTCAATGAATGCAGATTGTTAGAATTACATGTAGGGAATCACCATTCTTGTACCTTTTGGGCATCATAATTAGTTGTTGATTTCTTCTATTAAAACACGTCTAGATTCATAACTACAGATAAGCCCATAGTTTTCCCTTTTCAACATTTTTATGTGCCTTATAAAAGCTAATATTTTTATATCTGACTTAATTTCTTACTGCTGCAAAGCACTATTCCAAGGTTGATAAATACCTGTACATATTCATGTTCATCTACTGCAGGGATGGGGAACCTTTTTTCTGCCAAGGACCATTTGGGTATTTATAATATCATTCGTGGCCTATACAAAATTATCAACTTAAAAATTAGCCTGCTATATTTGGTCAAACATTTAATTAACCCACCCCTAATGTGATGGCTGGAATTGCTCCTCTGTGGTGAGGCCTTGGCAGGGCCAGACCAAATGATTGTTCTGGCTGTGTACAGCCCATGGGCCGGGTGTTCCCCACCCCTGATTTACTGATTATTGCTAGTCGTAAGAATCTTGGAATTATTAACTCATGAGCAGAGGACCTGAGATGGCATTCATGTCCTTAAAGAGTTCCTGTGAGGTACAAGAACAACTCAGTTGATTTTGCAAAGCATTTCCTGTAAGAGAGGTAGGGCTGGTAATTAGATGGCAATAGCTTCCTTTTAGTAAGTCTAGTTTGATTACATATTACTTCATTTCAGAAAAGGCTAGATTAAAATCCAGGGTCTCCTTACACATTGCTCTTCCCGGGTCATTTTGCTTCATTTCTTTTCTCTCTCTTTTTTTTTAATCTTCAATTGATTTCTCTCGTGTTTTTTTTAATCCTCAACTGATTGGTTGCCTCTGGCATGGGCCCAGAGCGGGGCGAGCCTGCAACTGAGCTATGTGCCCTTGGCCAGAATTGAACCTGGGACCCTTCAGTCCTCAGGCAGACGCTCTAACCACTGGGTCAAACTGGCTAGGGTTGAAATCATTCTTAGTTGTCAGGAACCATATAAATGATTCTCATTGACATCAAATAACTCTATCTCCTTTTTTACATAAAATGATCAGCTACTTATTATCATTTGCTTCCTCTTTTGTCAGAAATTTCACCATAAAAAATGAACAGGGAAATTATTAAATCAACTTTACAATTTATGTACCCACTAGAAATATATGAGAGTGCCTGGGCTTATATTCAGCAATCTTTTGGATTGTTGCCAGTCTGATAGGTTAAAAAATAACTTCTTAATTTAGTTTTAATTAGTAGTTGTCTAATTATGAGTCAAGTTCTTTTTCTGTGTATTGTTTATATTCTTTACATTTTCTTTATAGTTTTTAGGACTTCTTTATACATTAGGGAAATGAACCCTTTATGTGTTATATGCATTACAAATACTTCTCTTGGTTTATTGTTTCTGAAATTGGTTCATGATGTCAGAGCCACCGGCAGAAGTATTGACTAGGACAGGGCCCTTTCATATATGTCTAACTGGTAAGCCTGAGAATCATTACTCTTTCAGTATATTTATTAACTATGAATTTGTGTAAAAGAAATATCCAACTCACATTTTTACACCCCCAGCATAGTTTTACCAGCCTGGGGCTAGCCAGGAAAACCAAGTATCTTTTCTGCCAGATAGGTAAATTGGATTTGGGGCTGGGGGTGGGGAACCTGTGGTTTTGTCAGCTAAAAGTAGCAAACCCAGTTTGAAGGAAAGGGGCCAGCCAGCCAGTAGCTTTGCTAACCAGACCAAAAAATAAAAAGCCAAACATAGACATCAGCAGCCACACAGTATGGTGAAGACAAATAATGCAGTTAACCCCCGGCAAATTACTGAAAAGAAAACAATTCAAAGAAATATCAGAATCCAAAGTTACTATAGGATATTAACTAAAATGTCCAGCTTTTAATCAAAATGTATGAGACATGCAAAGTAACAGGAAACTTTAACACATATTCAGGAAAAAAAGCAGAAAACAGGCATAAAACTATGTGTTGTATACTTTTATTTACAGGGCATTCTCTGAAAATATCAATTAAATCCATCTGGTCTAGTGGTTCTTTTAAGGCCGTTGTTTTCTGTTGATTTTTTGGTCTGGAAGATTTATCCATTAGTGCCAATGGGGTGTTTTAATCCCCTACTATGACTATATCACTGTTGATGTCTGTCTTTATGTCCATCAAGATTTGCCTTATATTGGCAATTGTCATCAGTTTGGCTCAAATAAACTCATAAAAATTCTCAAAAAAAAAAAAAGATTTGCTTTATATATTTAGGTGCTCCTATGTTGGGTGCATAAATGTTTACAAGGGTTATATCTACTTTTTGTATTGATCCCTTTATCATTATGTAATAGTCTTTGTCTCTTATTGTAGCTTTTGTTTTAAAGTCTTTTTTATCTGATATAAGTATTGCTACCCCAGCCTTTTTGTTTGTTTCCATTTGCACGAAATATCTTTTTCTATCTCTCTACTTTTAGTCTGTGTGTATCTTTTGTTCTGAGTAAGTCTCTTATATACAGCATGTATATGGGTCTTGTTTTCTTCTTCTTAAGTAAGTTCCTTTAACATTTCTTGTAATACTGGTTTGGTGGTCATGAACTCCTTTAGTTTTTTTGGACTGGGAAGCTCTTTATTTCAATATCCTTCAATTTTAAATGATAGCCTTGCTGTGTATGATAGTCTTGGTTGTAGGTTTTTGCTTTTCATCACTTTGAATATTTTGTGCCAGTCCCTTCTGGCCTGAAATGTTCTTTTGAGAAATCATCTAATGAGAGTGCCCTTATAAGTAGTTGTCTTCCTCTTCCTGCTTTTAAGATTTTCTTTCTGTCTTTAACCTTTACCATTTTAATTATGATGTGTCTTGGGTATGGGCTCTTTGGATTCATCTTGTTTGGGACTCCGTGCTTCCTGGACTTGTGTGTCTTTTACCTTCACCAGGTTAGGGAAGTTTTTAGTCATTATTTCTTAAAATGTGTTCTCAATTTCTTGCTTTTCTCTCTTCTCTTTCTGGTACCCCTCTAATGCAGAGGATGTTATGCTTTATGTTGCCCCTGAAGTCCACTTAACTGTTCTTATTTATTTATTTATTTTGCTGCTCTAATTGGGTGTTTTCTGCTATCTTATCTTCCAAATCCCTGGATCCTCTTCTTTATTTAGCCTGCTACCAGCCCCAGCACACTGCACAGATAACAAACTGAAGCACACCTCTCAGTCTTTGTGAAAGAGACCTCTTTGCTTGTCCTGGAGCTTTCGCCTGAGGGGCAGCCTTCAGGTTTGACACATGTCTAGTGTCCTTTATAGCTGCTCTCAAGGATTGAAGGCTCTGGGCACCCTCTTGGTGCTCTCCCTCTGCTTTGCTTCTCTTTCTGGTATCTCCCAGAAAAGAGTTTTATACACATCTTGAGCTCCTATTTTTGAAGTTGCTACCCAGGGACACCTCCAGATCACCTGGCTCTGGTAGGTAGCAGGGCTTACTCTTGTGGTCGCACAGGACTATATATATTTGCATACTATTAGAAGCTGCTTCCTGAGAGCATGGTTGCCAATCATCCTGTATCTAGGTGTTGACATCCTCCCATTTGGGGCACTGACAAGTCCTGGCATATGTTTAATTCTTGAGATCTATTAAAAAATAATAGCCTCCTTGGACAAGAACAAAGGTTTGAGAGACAACCAAGAGATAGGATAGGGCAGGGTTGAACAAGGTTCATCTGCAACACGAGGCCACTACTTCAAGTCTACTGCAGATATTTAATGTGCTTCATTTGTAGTTTAAAATTATTTCATATCTTTTATAGGTCTTTTTGATTCTATGTATCTTTCAGGTGCCTGTCTTTGGTCTTTGTTTTCTCATTTCACACTGTTTCATTGGGTATAGGCATAGAGCAAATATTTTCTTCTCCATTTTGAATGAAATCCTTCCCCTTTTTCCCTCTCATAGTTTATTTTTATAGGAGTCATGTGGTTTTCTTTCCTCATTAATTATTCTTAAATGAAAAGAGGGTTCTCCAGACTTGATTTCCTATGTTGGAATGTAATCATGAAACACCCCCCACCTTTACCACTGCAAAGTACTCATATACCTCTTGTATTTTGCCTCCTTTATTGACTTTCCAAGTTACAAAGCATAATCATCTAGTTATTAATGTCCTGGCCAAGTTATGAGGAAATAATTATGCATCCAGTGGATGTAGTATGAAAACAGCTAACTGGGAGGAAATTTTATGATATGGTACATATTATCTGATAGGGTTGAAATCTTATCAGAGTACTTGTCTGAGGTAGAGTTAGACTTTTGTGGAAATGTATATAATTCTTCTTACACAGCATTACCAGTTAGGTCCCTTCTGTGTTTTAGTTGGTCAAAACTTTGGGATCTACCAGATGAGTGACTAATATTTGTAATTTCTGGGGTTCCTGTGACTTTACAACCCTTTGGATTTTTGCAAATATGTCAATGAAAAGATGAAGGAAAGTGAATGTTATTGTTTCCATGTTTGTGATTTCATGTTTATGATTGTACTGTTAGGCTATGTAGTTTTTGATTCATATTATTTTGGTAAGTTTCTCTTTATAACATAATGTCTTACCTACAAGTATTAGGTCTGTTTATGTTTCTAGTGTTATGCTACAACGGCTGATTTCATTTCTTTAGAATTATAAAAATAATGAAATCCTCCTATGTTCCCATGTGATTGTTTTATGATTGTTTCTTTTTTGTTTGTTTGTTTTTTAATCCTCGTCTGAGGATATTTTTTCCATTGCTTTTCAGAGAGAGAGAGAGAGAGACAGAGAAAAACATCGATGTGAGAGAGACACATTGATTGGTTGCCTCCTGCATGGGCCCCGCCTGGTCTGGGGATTGAGCCTGCAAACGTGGTACATGCCCTTGGCTGGAATCGAACCCAGCACCCTTCAGTCCTTGAGCCAAACTGGCTAGGGCTGTTTTATGATTGTTTAAATATTTCTTCCCTGGATTTAGTCAAACTTTTTGATCAGTAAATGAAACTCTTTTCTTTGTAGTAAAGTACTCAACTGTGTGGGATATTGCATAGATCTTGGAAGACTGCAATAAAGTGGCAATGTCTCGGGAACCCACCCCACCTCTTCCTGGAGATATGTCTACTGCTCCTATAGCAGAAAGCTGGTGTTATACACAGGTATTTGCCATTTACAAATTTTATAGTATTTTGAGAATATTATGAAGCATTTTGGTATAGTTATTAGAAATCTTAAAAGACTGGGTTGTAGGATATTTAACATGTGACAGGTTAAAAGCATAAAATTCATTGTGAAAGTATTTTTCTGAATCTCTTAGGTTAAAGTAGTAAAATTTTCCTACATGTGGACCATTAATAACTTCAGTTTTTGTCGAGAAGAAATGGGTGAAGTGTTAAAAAGTTCAACATTCTCATCTAGCCCAAGCGACAAAATGAAATGGTAAGATTTTTGTTTGATTGGAGTTTTGTTTTTGATGTTATCATTGGCTACTTTATTGTTTTGTTGTTACTGTTCCTGAATAGATATTAGTCTATTTTATATTAAATTTGTAAGAAGTTTCTAATATTATAGGGAATTGTGAAGAATTTGGGGGATATTGATGGGATATTAACAAATGATTTCAATATTGCCTCTCTTTTTTGACTATTTCAAGTATTCCGTTCCTCCATGTGAGCCTATTGTTTTATTTTAGGTGCCTGAGGGTAAATCCAAAGGGATTAGATGATGAAAGTAAAGACTACTTGTCCTTATATTTGCTTTTAGTCAGCTGCCCAAAAAGTGAAGTTCGAGCAAAATTCAAATTTTCTCTTCTGAACGCTAAAAGGGAAGAAACAAAAGCAATGGGTGAGTGATTTGCAAACTGATTGAAGTCTCTAACTACGTGCTGTAACTTCTGCACTTTTGCCTACAAAAACTTAGGATATTTCTTCCCACTAAAATCCACTTAACCTAAAACATCTAATTTGGCCGTTCAACACCAGTATAGAGCTATAGTTTTTGTACTAAGAAGTCTTAGACTTCATAGACATGTAAAACTAATTTTCTCATGTTCTAAAATTACATTCACTTGTCACTTGAAAACATAGTTGCTGTTATGTACAAGGTGCCTGGTTCAATGCCTGGCATATGTAATAGTTCAGTAAATATTTCTCTTCTCCCTTGAAATTTTTACCAGATAAAATCTGAAGAATATTGTGAAAGATACTAAGTGTCTTGATAGTTTGTCTCTGGAATTTTTTTGACTAATAGACCTGACCACTGAAAAGAAGTCAGTTTTTCTTAGTCTTAAGACTTGTTACGTTCACTTCAAGCTTCACATATATAACTTGCTGAAATCATATAGCCTGGAGCTTCATAATAGAGATGTACAATGTGCAAAGTAGTGCAGTATATCATGAACTGCGTTAAATTTTAAGTGTTTTGTAAAAGTGAATCACAGAATCAAGTAACATTATTACAAAATAACCTCCACCAAATACACATTTTTAAATATCTTCTTAAAAATTTTTTAAAAAAATAGGTTCTTATTGATTTCAGAGAGAGGAAGGGAGAGGGAGAGGTAGATAGAAACATTGATGAGAGAGAAACATCAGTTGGCTGCCTCCTGCATGCCCTCTACTGGGGATCAAGCCCACAACCCAGGCATGTGCCCTGACTGGCAATCGAATTGGGAATCAAACTGGTCCATGGGACGACTCTCAACCAGCTGAGGCACACTGACCAGGCTAAATATCTTTTATTGCCAAAGTAATACAGTTTCACATGTATTTTCACATTGTCTGGCATTTAAGACAGTGGAGTGTCTTAGTGCAGGGTGCAATAACAAAGTACCATAGACTGGATGGCTTATAAACAGAAATTTATTTCTCACAGATCTGGAGGCTGAGAAGTCCAAATTGAGGGTGCCACCATGGTCAGATTCTGATGAAGGCCATTTCTGGGTTGTGGACTATGAACTTCTCACTGTGTCTTTACATGGTGGAAGCGCTCAGGGAACTTTGTGATGTCTCTTATAAGAGCAGCATTCCCATTCATCAGGGCTCTACCCTCATGACCTCATCTAATCCCAATCACTGACCTCTTAATACCATCACATTGGGAGGGGATGGTTTCATCATAAGAATTTTGATGGGATACACACAGTCTGTAACCTGGAGTGTTTCAATTAGATTTACTACTGGTTTCTACCTCCAATTAATTTTTTGTGTAACAGACAGTGAATACTTCCTTAACTGTAGAGGATCTTGTATATTTCATAGTATACAGTTATATATTATTATAGGCATTTGAAACATTTACTTCAGACATTTACTTATTAAATCTTTTAGAAATTATAGTAAAAACCGTCTTTTAGACTTTTACAAAAGTTGTTTTTAGGGGATTATGTCTAAAGACCTGGGAATGATAAGGGACCTTACTTAGCTTTTTCACCAGTTAATGGATGTCTTCTGGTTCGGTAAACCTTAAGTCAGTGGGATGGATGTCCCAGGAAAGTTTAAAGGATTTCCTGGTGACTTAGAGCATCTTGTTTTTAAAGGGAGAAGAAGGAAATGGGAGGTATGTTTCTAATCAGGTTCTGACGGTAGACGATGAGCAGTATGCCTGTGCCAGTACATTTTGATCCTACTTTATTACAGGGCCTAAATCTTTCTTCTCCAAGAATCTGGCTTTTCTTCTACGTAGAGATCCAGGAATCTGAAAGTGAGCTCATTTGATAGCCAAAATTTGAGTAGTGCTGAGGAATGATCTGGTTCTACCTGATGTAACTCTTTGATACATTTTATTTATGAACACAAATATCTATACTTTTTACTATTTTTGCATATTCATTTACCTATGTTATCATTAACAAAAATGTTTCTTGGGTACCTGTTTTATTTAAACTTCTATTCTATTTCTCACCAGAAAGCCAAAGAGCATATCGATTTGTACAAGGGAAGGACTGGGGTTTTAAAAAATTCATTCGAAGGGATTTTTTGCTTGATGAAGCTAATGGTCTTTTACCAGATGACAAGCTTACATTATTTTGTGAGGTGGGTACATTTTTTTATTTCAAGGAACTTTGTGGTTATATTTAGTGATAAAGCAAAAATATAAACCACAACAACTTTGGTTGTATTACAAAAAATAATAATTGGGATAATTGATAAGGTATCATTTGAAAATATTTTACTTGTAAACTAGGCTGATTAGATTGTCTTAGAAATCAGTATAGTAGCTCACTGTGAAAAAAATCTCATATCTCTAGCTATAAATTGTGTATGCAGTTATACTAACACATACTAAACATTTCTTTCTCTTAGGAGGGCTATGGATATGTATATCTTTATATGAAAAATGTAAATATCTTCATCCTGAATAATTCCGGTGTAGATGGTGAATATTTTTTGTCATATTCAGGTTGATCATATTAAACATTAAAACATTATTATTTATTTATCAGTTTGAAACCATACTTTGAACAGTAAAGTGCCTGAAAAAGATTGGGAAGCTTTTTATTCATTCAAGTAGTTGGGCTTATTTAATCAAATGATGTTGTTAGCAATAGCTTCTCAAATTTTTAAGTATCCCCATGTCTGCATGTTATTGTTATATAGTTTTATCTATACAAATTGTTGAGATTCATTTTTGGATTGAATTCAAGGATTATCTTATGTTACCAGTACCATTTATAGAGAATATGCATCAGTTACATAATTTTATCAAAAAGTGTCAAAGTAGTTGATCATTTTCATAGAAAGACAGATGATAGATTATACTTAAATAAATTCAGTGTTAAATATAGGGTGTCCCCCAAAAATGTATGCACACTTTGAATAATTATTAATTCCAGTGAGTTAAATCTGAAAAGAAAGAAACACCAATTGAGCTATCAGAAAAAAAAAGTGTATACATTTTTTTGGGACACCCTGTACATTTCAATAGGTTATTGTAGACAGATGAGTGTTTTGGAAACTTAAAAACTTCCTTAACTACTAAGTTAGCTTTAATTTCTTTACAGAAAACATGTAAAATTTCTTGGAAAGATTACAAACTAATTGTATGCCATTATGCTGTGTTAGAGGAATAATTGAAATATGGCCCCAGAGACTACATAGTGCAAATATAGTGTACCTTATTTTCACTTAGACAAGTTAAATGAACTGTGTGATGAGTTTGTTACGAATACAATTATTTGGTTGATAAAGTACATACCACAAATGTCTTGGGCAGAGCTGATTATTAAATAATTTTTAAAAATAGCTAAAGCATTTGTTATCAATAGGTAGATATTCTAAGAAGTATTCTAAATAAATATAGGTCATATTATTTTAAAATTTTAGCATCCTTAATACAGAGTCTTCCAGAATTTTCACAGTTACCTTAAATTTTAGTATGTTAATTTTTTAAAATTTTGTAATCTTAGAATTTAAAGGACCTTAAAAGCTATATAAACCAATTAAAAACCTACTAAAGCCAAAAGTCTTTTTGTGAAGACTTTTACTGTTAACTTCTAAAGGTAATATTTCTTTTTTGAGAATTGAAACATTGTTTACAGATATTTTCCTAAGCATGTTTTATTGGAACCTAGACAACCAAGAAATTCAGAATGAAGGCTGAAATTATTTTTTTTAATACACATTTTTTAATGTACTTTTAGCATTCTAGATCATGCACACTAGTGACCTTAAAAATAGAACCCACCATGACATACATTTTAAGTTGGCATTGATCAGATTCAGTTTTGAATACTGTAATATGTACCTTTTTATCAATGTAGACATTTATACCCTGGGCACCATATTAGGCATAGGAAGGCAAAAAGTACTTTGAACAAACATTCCTCATGCCCTCCACCATTTCTTTCTTCCACACCTCTCATTGATGCCCTTCCTTCTACAGCATCTCCAGCACTGCTTGCAGAAGAGGAGGAAGCATTGCACTGCCCTACGTAAAGATCTGCCTCCTCCCCCTCCCCTGCAAGTGGTGCTGTAGACAGGTAAGGCAGTTCGGTGCTACCCTTTTTGTGCAAGACATAACTTAATCTTGCAAGTTCCGTACTGTAATCAAGTAGCCAGCAGTAGAAACTTCTAGCTGTGTAAACAGCTCTGCCCCTTCTCTCCCGAAGTGATGCGGAGGGCAGGAATTGAGGAATAAGTAGGGAAAATAGAAAATTGGTTAGGTTAATTTATCTTTTGAAATCCAAAATATTTTTAGTAGTCTCATAGTCTGTGGACACATGCCATTCCATGATATACAGGGGAAGTACACACACACACACACACACATGAGTGCTTCATAAAATTAACATTTCATTTAGAAAGATTCCTATTTTTCTGTTCTAAGGTATTCTTTCCATTTTAAAATACTTGTGGTGATGGGTGGAAGTTGGGTTTTATTCTCCAAAAAGCTCTTTCATAGCAAAATGAAAAGTTGACAGCATTGTTTTTGTCACCTAGATTTTAAAAAAGGATACCTATTTATGAAAGTCAAAAAGTCTGAGACCTACTATTCTATAACATGTGAAATCGTACCGTTGAAAGTTTCTTACTTTGGTGCCAATGTGAGAGATGGATAGGTAGGTAGGTAATTAGAGTGGCAAAATTTGTAGTGCTTATATACCTTTGTAAATTCCTAGCTCTCAGAATTAATTTGGAGAATTGAGATTTTTAAAAATTCAAACCAGTCATCACCTTAAGTCCACGCTAGAGGAGACCCAGTTTTCAGAATACTTATAGTTGATTAGAGCCTGCACATGTTCCTCTTTAGCCTAAATTGTATTCTTAGTGTTGAGCCGAAAGCAAATTGGAAAAAGAGCTATCAGATGAGTTTGAGGCTTTGCAGCAATAGTCAATTTTGAATATTGTGCATTTCCCCTTTTATTTTGAAAGAACAACACTTGAACCTCAGGAAAGAATCTCAGCCTTTTTTCTGAATTTTTTACTCTAGGTTCCATTCAGTAAGAATGTTTATTACCCATATTTGAATATATACCAGAGAAATACTAAAATTTTAACCAATTTCTTAATTATAGGTATCAAGAAAATAATTACCAGAATTCATGGCGTATCAGTTTTTATTAGATTATTAACTTCTGCTCTGTCAGTAGTCCCTTGAATACCCTTTGGAGTATGAAATGTCTTAGTTAAAATTTTTTGGTTGCTATGACAATACTATGTAGATGTGTATGTCAATAATATAAATTCTTGCCCTGCCAGCATGGTTCAGTGGTTGAGCGTCGACCCGTGAACCAGGAGGTCACAGTTTGATTCTCGGTCAGGGCACATGCCAGGGTTGTAGGTTTGATTCCCGCTAGGGAATTCTTTTCTCTGAAATGAATAAAAAACATTTAAAAAAATAATATAAAATTCTTTTGAATTATAATTACATACACAAAATACAAATGTAACATCAGTCACCGTCTAGCCTGATAATGGCTTTATTTTTTGATGCTTTTATATCTCCTGTTACCTGATTTTTGCCAAATCTTTACATTAAATATACTATTTTGAGTTAGAATAATATGCAGTGAATAGAATTTAAGAAATCCATTCCTAAATTATAAATATATCATCACATTTTTATAACTCCATTGTATACTTTGTGCAAGTAATTGAACTGATGCAGTTCCTGCTGTCTGGAAATCTCAAGAGAAATGCTTTCTATGAACAAATAAATACCATCTTATGCAGTAAAAAACTGATCCCTAACTAACCCCTGAGTATTAGCACCAACATATTTGGTTTATGTATCAAGTTATAATGTATGCTGTAACAAGACAATCAACTAAGGATTAGTAATATTTTTTTCTGTTTTTTAGTTATTAAAATTTTAGAAACTATTTGAATAATTAAAAAAATAGAATAGAATACACAATATTTTGATGCTTATATTTAGAAAAATATCTCACAAGATTATTGTGATTAATCCTTTCTGAATCATAATTGCATTAAACTAGTACTACTAATTTAAAAAAATATATCCAAAGAAATATTGTGCAATAAGTACGAAGAGTGCTAAAGAAAAAGGAATCTGGGGGTATAGGTCTAGTCTTCCTCTGATATTGACTAGCAGTGTGATTTAGGACACCTTAGTTACCTTCTCTTGATCTCACTTTGTAAACTTTTTACCAAATAAGTTGATTGGATTAGGCGGATATCTATGACACATGATTCCAAAGGGTTAATAATGCAAATTGGAAAAACAAAACGATTAATAAAAAAACCTCAAAAAATAAAATACTTCTTTAGAAGTGCCCATTCATTCACATGAGGTACGTGTTTATACGTCTAGGTGAATGAGAGCTTCTGAGATTTAATATTCTCCAAGTATTTTATACTGGATGATTATTATACTTTCAGTGTTAGCATGTTGGTAGTTTGCTCCAATTTATCTATCTGTAATTTACATTTTCTACATAGTTTATTTATACGTGTCCTTATTTTTACCTACTCTTATTTAATAAAAGGCATATGAAATGTTTTTAAATGAACACAGTTGCCTGGCCGGCATGGCTCAGCAGTTGAGCATCAACCTCTGATCCAGGAGAACACGGTTTGATTCCCAGTCAGGGCTCATGCCCGGGTTGTGGGCTTGATCCCCAGTCAGGGTCGTGTAGGAGGCAGCCGATTAGTGACTGTCATCATTGGTGTTTCTATCTCCCTCCCTCCCTCTTCCTTCCTCTCTCTGAAATCAATAAAGATATATTTAAAAATAAATAAATGAACACAGTTACCTCTTGCTGCATAAAAAATGACCACAAAACTTAGCAGCTTAAAACAATGGATAACTAATATAGCACTTCTGTAAAAAATGGTTCATTACTCTGAAACATATGCTTTACTTGTTGAAGTAGTATTTTCTTCAATGTATTAAATATAATTTGAAGTTCCGATAGTAGAATACATTTTTTAAAAATGTGTTGTGTTAGACTTATATACAATAGATAGTGGTCATCTTCATGAGAGATAAATTTACTCCATAATATATTGGAGTTTGTATAAAAACATTGTTGTAATTATATCACTTTTTGTTGATTAGTTAACAGGTAAATAAAAGGCCTAAATCAAACTATATCATATTTGTATTACTGTTGATTTTTTAAAAGTATCCCATTAACTTTTAGTAACTACAGTTTCTTTTTTTTAAAAATTACTTCATTTTTTCTTAATCCTCACATCAGGATATTTTTTCTATTTTTGGGGTGGGGGGAAGGGAGGAAGGGAGAAAGAGAAACATAGATATGAGGGAGACACGTCCATCAGTTGCCTTCTGCATGAGCCCCAACCAGGGCCAGGGATTGAGCCTGCAACCGAGGTGCATGCCCTTGGCAGGAATCAAACCTGTGACCCTTCAGTCAGTAGACCAATGCTCTAACCATTGAGCCAAACTGGCCAGGGCACTACAGTTGCTTTTGTGAGAATTCTTATACTTTAAAATTTTAATCAATTTAACTATATATTTAAATCAATTTTACCAGAGTTGAAACATGTAGGAATAGCACTTAAAATACTTTCCAAATTGCATATCTTAGACTGTAGTTTTACAACCTTTTTTAATACTGTAAAAATTTATTGTAAGTGTGATGATGTGTTTACTATGTATAATAAACTTTAAAGGTTAATAGGTCTGTAGTGTGAGAAAATAAAAATGAAGGAAATTTCTTCCTCCACCTCATAATTTCTTCTCTGTCTTTGAATTTGACATACTATATTTCTTGTTGAAAAATAGTTTTTGTAATTATTTCAATAACGAACTATTCCAAACAATCAACAAGCCATTTATTTACATAAAAAAGGCATTTGAAAATTGTATTCTTAAATTCAGTTCTCAAGCATTAGCATTTTTTATCAGCAGTACATTTAATTTATTCAAATGATTTTAATGATAAGAAATTTAACTATAGTCTTAGTAACTAATTATTGATACTAAATTGTAAAAGTGTTTTTCTTACTGTCCCTTTTTTATTAGGTGAGTGTGGTCCAAGATTCAATAAATATATCAGGGCATACTAATACAAATACTTTGAAGGTGCCTGAATGTCGACTAGCAGAAGATTTAGGTAATCTCTGGGAAAACACAAGATTTACAGATTGCAGTTTTTTTGTGAGAGGACACGAATTTAAAGCTCATAAATCTGTACTTGCAGGTACTTTCTACTTTTGGGTAATATAGTACATTTCTTTTATAAATGTGTGCATTAAATAATGATGCTTAATCTTGTTACAGCTCGATCCCCAGTTTTTAATGCAATGTTCGAACATGAAATGGAAGAAAGCAAAAAGGTAATCATAGTTTAAGGGCTGGCTAATAATGAATTTGTGCAAAAGCAGAATAGTAGAATCTATATTTTAAAAGTAATAGTGCATGTTCCTCAATTGTTATACTATGATTTTAGAGAAAAAAATAGAAAGATGGGGAAAATGGGTTCTATAGTAGAACAGTAGATGTAGCCTAAAGCAGGTGACTATTCCAGATAGCAGCTCTTTGATGCACATTTGGAAGGAAAATAAGTAGGCAGTTCTTTTCTTATCCAAAGGAGTAGTTATCCAAAGGACTGTTCTTGTCATAGTTATTTGGGAGTTGTCTGGTTAAGAAGTATATTTCTCTTTTCTAGACTTTATGAGTTGATTTTGGAATTTGTTTTCTAGAGCAAAAATAATGCCTACATTTTGTTAACCACTAATATAGGTGGGTATTTATTAGAATATTTAACAAAAATGGCATAAATTACATTATTTTACATTAACTGTCATCCAGATATTACTTATTTGGTTTTCCCAGGTGTTTTTCTCTGTCACCTGTCTTCTTGAAATGTCAGATTAAAGATCAGAGGTTGATTCTTTGCTGGTTACATTAATTGTGATCGTTAGTGCTCCAACTGGACAACTCCAGAGTTTATGTGGGCTCAGCTTTATTCTTTCTGCAGAACTAGAGGCTTCCTTTCCTTTGATTCTTGGTCTGGGCAGGTACTATGATCAGCCTTCTGATCACTTCCAAGTATTAGGAGACATCAGTGATGTGTCAAGTGCTATTGTCAGCAAAGAGTCAGAAGAGTTTCCTATTGTTTAGTGTTAGATATTTAGCTTGGTTAATCCTGGGAGAGAAACCAAATTTACAAAGATATAGGAGTTATAAAGGAACTAGTCCCCTTTGGACTTGAGTATGTGTTAAACAAAGTGATGAGGTGCCAGTAGATAGTAGTACATGGCATTTTGCAAAAGAGAGTTCTGAGGTGTAGTGGACTCTGGGATTATCTCATATACCTGACCCTTCGTTTGATTAAAACTGGTTATAGGATCTTCGGCATTGCATTATAACTTAGGAATGCAGTAAGTAAAACTTAATAGACATTTTTCTCTAAGGTAGAGGTCAGAAACTGCACACTGATGCACTTTGTGTGGCCTACAGGTTTTGTTTTTGTTTTCTTCTTTTAATTGAGAAATTTGGTTTTATTCCTATGTAAGAGTGCTTGACTGGGTATACTTTCCTCTTAGACCTGCCTGTTTCACTTTGCTTGTGTAACTTCCTGGAGATCTACTTACCTCAATTTTAAAATAGAGTTTAATCAATATTTGAATTGTACAGACTTGGCTTTTAAATTACCGTCAGAGTTTTCCCTTGGTTCGTTTTGTGTGCCTATCTTCTTTAAGTATAACTTTTTTGTGTTGTTTTCAATATCAGAATCGAGTGGAAATAAATGATGTAGACCCTGAGGTTTTTAAAGAAATGATGAGATTCATTTACACAGGGAAAGCACCAAACCTTGAAAAAATGGCTGACAACTTGTTGGCAGCTGCAGACAAAGTAAGTAATTAGGACTTAAAGAGCTGAAAAATGTCCTCAAGCTTTTGATGTATCTGGAAAGCTATCATCAAATGAAAATTCCAAATAACTTGGAAATACTGAATTAATTTATACTATTTGCAGATGACTGTTGAGGGTATTATAAAATAGCATAGTGGGATAATATGGAAATGAAATTTTTAAAAAAAATAAGACATAAAAATATCTTTATATGGAAGAAAGTGAATTTTTTATGGGAGATTAAATTGTAAATTACATAGTTTTGAGTGTATCTCTAGTGTTTTATAAGAACATATACACAATAGCATATATAATTTATTGAAATTTTTTTATATTCTTAGTTTTAATACGCCTTGCCTGACATCTTTTTACTGAAAGGAAGAAATTTGGGGTATTTTGACTAAATTCTCTCTGTATTTATAGATTTATTTTTTAATTTGATGCTGTGGAAAAAGAAAAAACAATGTTAATTTTACGGTGCAAAATATACCAGAAAATATTGAAGTCAGTAGTTTTCAACCCTGAGAGCACATTGGGAGCTTTCTCAGAAGTGTTGATGTCATGCCACTTTCATCCATGTATATACATATGTGCATGTATATGTGTATATACACATACACAGAAATATATATAGTGTGTGTGTGTGTGTGTGTATAGTATTTATATAATGATATACTTGTTTTGCAGAATGTTTACATTGGGAAAACTGAGCCAAATGTAAATAGAATCTATTTCCTACAACTCTGCACATGAATCTGTTAACTATCTCAACAAAAATTAAAATTAAAAAATACCATTTACAGTAGCATCAAATATATTAAATACATAGGCATAAATAAATACGTAGACAGAAACTGTTCAAGATCCATATACTGAAAATTACAGTGTATTGCTAAGTGAAATGCAGGTAGACCTAAATAAATGGAGAGATAAATCTTGTTTATGAACTGGAAGCCTGAATATTATTAAAATTTCAATTCTCCTTAAAATTGATTAGTAGAACCAACATGCCGTAAACAGGCTTTTTTAAAAATAAATTGATAGGGTGACTTAAAAATGTATATGTAAGTCCAAGGACCTATAATCAATAACTGAAAATATCAAAATGGAAGACTAATACTGTCTGATAAGACTTATTATAATGCTTCATTATTTAAGACTGTTTTATTGGTGACAAGATGGACAGATAATTCATTAGAGTAGAACAGAGTACAGAAATAGACAGTCACATGTATGGATATTTAATTTTTAATAAAAGTGCAAGAACAACTCCGTGGAGAAAGGATTGTCTTTTCAACAAATGGTGCTGGAACAATCAGATACCCAAATGCCCCCCAAATTAAACTTTGATTGACTCATTTGAAAAAATGAACTTTGTGTATTAACTTCATCATATGTAAAATGTTATGCATAATGGGTTTATAAATCTAAAAATCTAAAACTTCTTAAAGAAAATATAGGAGAAAGTCTTCATAATCTTATGTTGGGCAAAGACTTCTTAACTATGACACCAAAAACATACTATATAAAAGAAAAAAATTGAACTTCAGTAAAATTTAAAACTTTTTTTCTTCAAAAGACACAGGAGAATAAAAAGGCTGGTTGCAAACTGGGAGACAATATTTCCAAAGGAGGTATATAATGAACTTTTATTCATAATATATCTGATAAAGGACTTTTAAAATCAGACTATATAAAGAACTCTCAAAACTTAATTGTAAGAAAGCAGTGTTATTTCTAAAAATAGGAAATATTTCAACAGACACTCCCTGAAATAATGTCAATCAAGCATTTCAGAAGATGTTCAGTATCATTAGCCATTAGGGAAATATAAATTAAAACTATCACAAAATACTTCTACACACATATCATAATACCTAAAAATTATAAGACCATACTATAAATATGGCCAGGGCTATGAAAGAATTAGGACTGTCATACAGTGTTAATGGGAATATAAAATGGTACAACCATTTTAAAGATGTTTGGCTGTTCCGTTAAATGTTTTATACTTGCCGTATGATCCATTGAGCCCACTTTTAGGTTTTATCCAAGAGAAAAAAAAGCATACAGCTATAAACATTCATATATGCCCATACAGTGACATATATGAATGTTTATAAAAGCTTTCTTTGTAATAGCTAAAACCTGGAAACACCCAAATGTTCATTAACAGATGAATGGATAAACAAATTGTGGTATACCTATATACAACGGAATACTACTCAGTAGTAAGAACCATTGAACTTTTGATACACAGGCAGCGACATGCATGAATCTCAGAATAATTATACTTTGTGGAAGAAGCCAGTCAAAAATGAGTACAAATTGTAGAAGGTTCCAGAAAATGCGAACTATTGCAGTAGAAAGCATATCAGAAGTGTTGGTCTGGGGGATGGAGTGGGAGAGGATTACAAAGGGGTAGGAGGAAACTTTTGGGGATCGTGAATATGTTCACTATCTTGCTTTAATGGTGATTATATGGCTGCTAAAGATGTATAACATACACTAAGGATTTTAGTGGCTATGAATATGATTTCTTTTTTTGATTTTTTAAAGTTGATTTTTAGAGAAAGGGAGCAGGGAAGAGAGAAACATCGATGTGAGAGTGAAACATCCATCTGCTGCCTCCTGCACTCCCCCTACTGGGGATTGAGCCCACAACCCAGGCATGTGCCCTGGCGGAGTAGAACTGGCTGCCCTTTGGTGCGCATGATGACACTCAGCCAACTGAGCCACACGCCAGGGCTGAATATGATTGCTTTAGTTTAGTAATTCTTCAGGATTGTGTTGTGGCAACATGCAGTATGCTGGTTGGTATACTCATGTTTTTAACAGTATGAGGAGAGATATACTCATTAAGAGTATTGAGGAATAAGGTTTTTTTGTTGTTTTTTAAAGAATAAAATCTGATTTTTAAAATATACAGTATTTTGCACTCAGGGAAATTGAAATTTCCTAAAGAAAATTAGTCTTTCTCTTGAATGTATGCATTCATATTTTCTTTATATTATGTTAAAATAATTTAGAAACTTTTAAAGTACCCTCAGTTCAAAGTATAATGTGCTTTAACTTTATTTTCTAAGTCACAAATATTATGTATTTAAAACTTGGTAGCTTGAGTAAATGTTTAATGGTTACGTTTTCCTTCTGGATAGTATGCACTGGAACGGCTGAAGGTCATGTGTGAAGAAGCTTTGTGTAGTAACCTCTCCGTAGAAAATGTTGCTGATACCCTTGTCCTTGCAGATTTGCACAGTGCAGAACAGTTGAAAGCACAAGCCATAGACTTTATTAATAGGTAAGCTGTGCTTGTATTTCAGTGGGTATGACACCTTCAACTTTTTTCACTGGACTTTTTTAAAGTGTGTTTAAATCTTCAATGCAGGTGCAGTGTACTTCGACAGCTTGGGTGTAAAGATGGGAAAAACTGGAACAGCAAGTAAGATGACATCAGTTTCTGACTTAAAGTTTATCTGCTTACATAGAATTAAGTGTTTACATAGCCTTTTGTTCATCTACAATAAGCAGGAATCCAGATATTAGTTATATGGAGCAAGCTGCTGGTTATTTAAAAACAATAATTTGACTAACTTAGTGGGTTCTTGAGGCTATGCCCCCTTGTAGATCAGCTGCTAATGTGAACTGGGATGGATGCTCTAATTTCTTGAGCACATATGCTCGCTCACATAGTATATAGCTGCATCCAGGCATTTCAATGGCTACTAGAGAACCTTTTCCTCTCCCTTCAGAAAGCATTTCTAAGAATATGGAAAATATTCATTTTTATCTTCTGAGGAATGTACCCTCCAAATTTGCCTTAAAAGTCAAATTAGCATTTGAATGCTAACCCATTGCTTCTTAATGTTAGTGAAGTACTTTGCATTGAAAGCTGTATTAAGCTAGCTGCCTAATATTCCAAAAATGCGAGTAATTTGATCTTTACTTTCCCTGGTAAAACTATAAGAGGTAGCATAGTTGTTATATGTTTTCTAAGCTCAGACCTTCTAAATATGAACTGTTAGAATATGAACTTATTTCCTTCTTTGTTTTCTTTTCTCATTTTTAGGGAGACTTTTCTACTCTTTATAATGATTCAGAATCAAAAAGAGTAAAGAGCTGATAGATAGAAATTTGCATCTTTTGATTGGTTTTTGTTTGTAAACCCTTAAATTCCACTTTTGCAAGTTATCAAAAGTTAATAATGTAAGGATGCCAAAAAAAACAAGTTGATATAAGAAAGTCAAAGAAGTCAGTGTTAGAGACAATAAAATGAATGTTGACTTGATTATTTACCATTGTTTTAATCTGTTTTGGTGTGTGCGAAGTTAACTGAATTCTATCAGTTTGTGAGTTGTCTTTTCTCAAAGTAAAAATTAGTGACTGCTTTTAATTTATTGGTTCTGTATATTGGTCAGTGTGTGATAATACGTTATCATTATGGTATGTGATCTAGATAAAAATCAGTTTAAATATGTTTTTATTGATTTCAGAGAGGAAGGGAAAGGGGGAGAGAGATAGAAACATCAATGATGAGAGAATCGACTGCCTCCTACGCGCCCCCCTACTGGGGATCTAGCCTGCAACCCGGGCATGTGCCCTGAGCAAGAATCGAACTATGACTTTCTTGTTCAGGGATTGATGCTCAACCACTGAGCCACACTGATCAGGCTAAATAAAAATCAATTTAAATTTAAAATATGTATAAGCAGCAAGTGACAGTTTTATGATCCTTTGTACTTAGCCACTTTCAGGCTCTAGTTTTATTCTGTTAAAATATTTAACGTATGACTTCTTCAATGTCAAAAAGTGTTAGCTTATTTTATGTCCTCTGAAGAAGCTATTGTTTCTACGGACCTTCAGTAGATATTTGTTGAATAAATGAAAATGTTAGGTATATTAAGAGATATCTGTGTGATACTAAACAACTAGTTGAAATTATAAACATAATGACACACTAGTAATCTGATGTCAGGCAAATAAAGTTGTTTTATTATTAGCTCCTGTTCAACAAACATGTACCTAGTATCTGTTGTGTCTCAAACACCATGCTAATGTACTGCATGTCAAAACAATTATGAGGAAAAGTCCCCATTCCTGAGAAATTTATGTAATGAAAGAAACAAATACATGAATATATCATTTTATTATAATATGGTAAGCAGTGTGATAAAGAGAGCTATTTGCAGGGCCCTTTGAAATAAAGGCTGAAGGTTTACTAGAGATGACAGAGTGTCTTAAAACATGAATAGAAACTAGCAGAAGTAAAAAGGAAATAACAAGCATTGCAGACAGGAAGGAGAGCTTGAATCAAAGTACAGAGGCCTGAAGGCAGTAGTTGATCATTCATTTTATAGATATTTATATTTATTGTCCAGTAAACATGGCCCAAGGCACTGTGCTCAGTATCAAGAATGTAATAGTGAACGTGACAAATGTTTTCCCTGTCTTCATAGAGTCTTTGGTTTAGCAGGAGAAAAATAGGAATTAAACAGGTAATTGAAATAAAATGTGATGATGGGTGAAATAGATAGTGTGCCCACCCAGGCATACAGCAAAGGAACCTAACTTATCCTAGTGGTCAGAGAAAGTCTTTTCAAGAAATTGTGTAAGTAAAGACCTAAAGCATTAGTACGAGTTACCCTGGTAAAGAAGAGGGGAGAGATGGAAAAGTGTATTCTGGAATAGGGAAATCAGGTATGCAAAGTTTGGGTGATAAGATCTTGAGGACAGGATAGAGTGTAAGGTTATAAAAAGAAGCTGGAGACAGCAGGCAAGGATAAGGTCCTGGAAAGCTGTGTAAATTAACATGAGGGCTTTTTAAGACATTATTCAAAGAATAATTCAGTAAAAGGTTTCAACCTAGGGCAGGGCCTCATCAGGTTTGTGTTTTTAGCCTTTCTGCATGCAGGGTAGAGACTAGATTGTGAAGACGTTGAGGTGGTGTGGTAGTTGAGGAGCAAGGTTAAATAAATACAGGTAGACCAGTTGGAAAGTTATTAGAGTAGGTCAGGCAAGAGATTAGACTTCATTGGTGACAGGGGGACTATAGAGAAACGAAAGGATACAGTATTCCTGGGGACAGTCTATTAATATTTGGATGTTATCTGGATGCCGGGTTGGTAGGAAGGAGAGAAGACAGGAGACAAGGAAGGGTAACTAGATTTGTTATTTTGAACAATTAGATATTTACTCTGATTGCTCAGTGAGAGCATGTTGTACATCGAGTAAGCAGTTCAGTATCAGTATACAAAATGCCAGAGCATGAAAGTGGGAGGTGGAAAGATAGAGAGAGGAAGTAGGAAACCTTGTTTCTCTTTGTAAGGAACTTGGTACAGGCAGTGGGCAACAACAAGGACCTGATAGAGTCCAACTTAGGTCTCTAAGGCAGCTTGGAAGCTGGTTTGAGAAGAGCAAACAGGAGACCAGAAGACAAAAGGAGACTCTTGTAATAATCCATCAGTGAGATGATGTGGGCCTTAACTAGGGATTTTAGGTATCTTTAGGAATTAACATAGGGCTTTGTTGATTGAGTGGAGAGGACAGGGTCCAGGATGACTCCCAGGTTTCTGACTCAAATAACTGGATTGGTGGAAGCATTAGCTGACTAGAAATGTGAGAGGAAGAATTTGGGGCTTGGGGAGAGACACGCTGATTTCTTATCTAACAATCCTAAATTTAAGGATCTTGAAACACATCCAGGTAAAGAGAACAAGCGGTTGGGAATGAACCTTGTGGGAGACTTAGGATTTAGCAGATCAGTAGTTGTCGTCATTGAATGTGATGCTAAAATTGTGAAGAATGGATGATATAGGATGAATAATGTATGGTGAAAGAAGAGAGTAGATGGCAAAAGTTGCAGCTCTGTAGAGAAAACCTGAGTGTAAGCCAGGAAAAGAGCTCTTGAAAGAGCCAGTTTGGAAATGGTAACAATGGGGGTGGAATGATGGGGACAAGTATCCCATGCTTCAAGAGAGAGAATTTCCAGAAAAATAATAGTTTCAGTTGCAACAGAAAATACTAGTAAGGTGAAGAGGATATTTTAATGAATTCAAGTGGTTTGAATACATACAGAGGCAGGTGTTCAAAACATTTTGAAATCCATAAATTAAAAAAAAGACAATGCAACAATGTATTTTGAAAAGTACTCTTTAATAATAAACATCTCTTAATTTTATTTTTCAGCCAAGCAACGGATATAATGGAAACATCAGGGTGGAAGTCCATGATTCAGTCTCACCCTCATTTAGTAGCGGAAGCCTTCCGAGCACTAGCATCTGCACAGTGTCCACAGTTCGGCATTCCACGTAAACGGCTTAAACAGTCCTGAAATCTTCCATGAACTGTAGAGAAATGGAACTGACTTTTATTTCTCCAGGTCCAGAAGGATTCTAATAGACAAACCATAAGCAAGAGTTGTTTCTGTTGTCTTGTCCACAGAACAGAAGCTGAAAAAGCATATTGCTTGCATTTCAGGTGGATAATTTATGGTTTATTCTTCAGCTTTAAATTAGACTGATATACTCTAATTCACTTCAAGGCCTTAAATTATCTCCAATGACTTCTCTTGTTCATATAATACTTTACTTTTTTTATTGTGCCTTGTCATTTTGACCAAGGCTATGTAGGATTGCACTAGCTCCATAATGCAGTAATATTGATAACTGAAGATGTTAAGTTACAAAGGAATCTTCCATTAGCTTCAGAAAAGCAAAAGCAAAATTAATTTTGTAGGGTTTGTGCTATGCTATCTTAAAGTTTAAAACTAGGTTCTTAAAAGCACTTGTATTGGAGATAATGGTCAATGTCTCCGATCTAAGTTCTATAAATACAGGAGAACCTGCTTACCTTCAAGGTAAGTTATGGCAATACACTGCTTCAGTTCTAATTTATTTTCATTTCAGGGGGCAATTATGCAATGAGTTGGCCCAAATTTTTAGTAGAATTTGTGGTGTTTGTATGTTAACTGTCCAGCAAACTAAGAAGCATAACAAACCTTTGCTTGTGTTTCTTTGTGGGTTTATCCAAGTTTACAATTATTGAGAACTGATTGAGGTTAAGATTTCAATAAGAAGAAAGCATGTTTTGTGCTGAATTAATTTTTTTTAATTTATAGTGGCCTACATTTATATGAAGAATTCTGTACATGTTAAAAGTAAGGATGACCAAATGTAAATTTAATGGGTGGGCCAATTAAGAGAGGTATATATGCACTTTTAATGTGTAACTTTTGTATGCTGAATGGTACATATATTTTTTTGCTTTTGAGGGAATTAATAAGGTATAATTAATTGTGTCTTAACTTTTTAAAGAATTTTTTAAGACAGATGGAGGTAACTGGGCTGTTTGTGATAATAGATAAGAAAGATATCCTTCATTATAGTTAATTTGGTTTCCATTTCATATAATCATTATTGAATTCACTCCTTTTTTATCACACTTTGGAGAAGGCATCTGAATAAAAAATGAGTTCCTGACAGTGTACTCTCCTTCTAAAAACAACAAACTGATATTATTTGCAGAATAAAGGAGAGAACCCTCAGAAATTCATCAGGCCACATTCTGAACCTTCCCCACCCCCTCCTAGTTTTCTCCTGTCTGTTTCAGTTACTGTACTAACATTGTGGATGATACTGAAATTCTGCATAATGTGAACAGGATAAACTATTTATAAACTGCTTTTCACGGGCCAGTTCTTTATTATAAATGAATTTCAGCTTTAAACACAGGCACATGTTCAGTGTGTGATAGCTCTGTGCACAGTGGAGGTCTGCTCTGGTGCGTTGTCCTGGGGAAGGAGGAGCTATCAGTGTCACGTCACTGCATCTGATTTCTTAGGCAAGAGTTATATTGGACCACAAGGGGAAAAGTGTGTCACTGGAAGAAAAATGCATATACCTATATATTTGCATATATAACTTTATTCTCCAGATTAAAATTTGTATAATTTGTTATTTAGTTTCTGAATTTAGGGCAAAAGGAAAAAAAATCAAGCCTAAGGTTTTAAAATAGATTATTTTTTGTTATCTCTTTGTTAGATATTCACTGAGCAATTCTCTAATATATCAGTAGTGATTCACATTTACATTGAACAACACTGTCAAATAAGCATTTGTTACCCATAACAAACTGGAGTTGGAAAAGATCTTATTTTTTTCAGATATCTTCATTTCATTCTGTGTAGTTTCATTGGGTCTTTGTTGTGTTAACTTAAATTTGAAATTGGAAGAATCCCTTGGGATAGAAAAAGATTCTTACATGTTAATGGACTCCATCCTATGTAACAATGCTATAGGCAGCAGAAATTCACTTTCTTAACTTCATCATAATACTGAATTCATTAAATTTACATTGTACAATGTAAAAAATACACGCACATACACACTAAGATTTTAATTTAAATTTTGCCTGAGTCTTATGAGAAAACAAAAACTTCCTCAGGCTAAAGAATTTTGTTGTCATATATCAAAAAAAATATTGATGTACCCATTTACATCAGATGCACACAGGCACATCATGGGTTAATTCACTGCTTGAATCTACATTTCTAACCATAGTGACTTCAGTAATAACACCATATAATGAACATTTCAGCTTGCCCTCACGTGTTTTCATGTTTATTGCAAATCTTAAGGGTTTTATTATAAGTATTATTTTTTAGTTTGGTAGTATATTTTGTACCAAAAGCGTCAAACACTGTGCTGTAAGAATATCCATGTTTGTAGAAATGTCCACTTTTCAGATAATATAATGCCTACCTTTATACTAACAGAACCATATGGTAGTTGATTTTTTTTTAATTTATTATGTATATTTTTGGTATTGTGGGTTCTTGAGGCTATGATAAAAACTGTTATGTGTTCTGACACAAGGCTCTAGTAGCCTTTTTTAGGGGTTGTTTTTTAAAATATCTTTATTGATTTCAGAGAGAGGAAGGGAGAGAGATTGGAACATCAATGATGAGAGAGTCATTGATCAGCTGCCTCCTGCACACCTCCCACCAGGGATCAAGCCTACAACCTCAGTATGTGCCCTGGCCAGGAATCGAACCTCGATCTCCTGGATCCTAGGTCGATGCTCAACCCCTGAGCCATGCTGGCCGGGCTTTTTTTTTTTTTTTTTTTAATTCATTGTTTTTAATAGGCACAGATTCTTCCAGAGCAGTTTTGCCTTTTAATTATCAGCCTGCTCCTGTTTCTCTTTTGTCACCTAAACAGAACTTTTCTTAAAAAGTACTGACTGGTTTTAAACATTACATATTACAAAAGGAACCATTGGAAAACTGTTCTTTAGATTCAGATAGGGAAACACTATATTTGTGCCTTTTTTGTTTTTGAATTTTAATGTGTATTGGTATTTGGAGCACAAATATGAAGGTGCCATAATATTATGGCTGCCATTGTTACCTCCTTGAATATTCGTGTGTCATTGTCTTAAAATAGTAATTGGAGAACCTTGCATGTATTATGCAGTTACTTGGGCGTCTGTGCACGCGCTTGCGTGCATGTGTGTGTGTGAGTGTACATGTACTTGTTTTCACTTGGACTTGTGTGTGGTATATTCAAAAAATTGAATTTCTAAAAAATAGGACTCAGTTAAATGTTGAAAGTTCAGGCTAGTTGAAATATTTTTATTTAAATGTGCTTTACTTGGGACAATTGATTGATAGAGGAAATTATAATTCTCAAAAATGTGACCAATTTACTGCATGACAAAACAGTGCCTTTTTAGGACATCATTAATTTTAAAATTAAGTTTAAAATATTGAAGATCTTGTAAAAAGTTGTCATGAACATTATTGGCTTTTTAAAAACTAGACCTACGTTAGAGCTTAAATTGCCAAAAGTATAATTACTAATTTATTTACCCATTTAAGTTTTGTGCATAATTTTAAAACCTAAGCAGAATTCTTTATGAAATTGTAGATCATAGATGCTACCCAGTGTTACTAACATAGAACACAAGGGACTTTGGCAAGTTGTTTTGTTAAACTCACAAGCCTTTTTCATAGCTATGTATACTTCAAGTATTGAATTACTCCAGGTTGGACTTCCATGCTCTTTGGTGGATAAAATAAAATTATTCAATATATTCTTGCAAAATAAGGTGGGTAGGTGGGTTTTAGTGTTTTCAGATTATAAAGACAGCACTTTCACACACAAATAAGAGTATTTTGCAAACCTCTTTTATACAGATTATGAGCTCTACTTTATGTAAGTGTTCATGGAATGATGTAAATTTTAGGTCCAGTTGAATAAAGATTGAGTGCCTACCGTATACAAGACTTCCTTTTCACTAGCAATTAAATCATCACACTGTGTGTTCTGTTGCAGTATGTGGACTTAATGTTTGAAAAGGAATTCTTATATTTAAATTTTTTCTGTTGTTAGAGTTTATCATTGTATACTGTAACCCAGTTAATTTGCATTCAGATTTTTAAAATGAAGATAAAACGTAAGTCCCACTTTTGAAAATAAAATTCTGCTAAAATTACTTAAAAATTAGTTCTGGGGGTAATTGATTTTCAAGTTTCAAATGTGTAAAGACTTATATTGAACTTTTCAGCTTCATTTTTAATCCGCTCATGTTAATGATGAGATACGTACTTTTGGTATCTTGTTGCTGAAAATATTTTTGGCATTTCAGCACTTTGCGTTAAAATAAAGTTGTTACTACTTATTCAGAATTAATTGGTTTATTTTGTGTTTATTTGAACATATGAACTCTTATTTTTTTACCTGATATCCAGTGTCTTGAAAACATTGTTTCATGTATTTTGTCTGGTTGGGTTTTTTTTTGGTCTTTGTTTTCATTATGTTTTTGTTTTTGTTTGGTTTTAGTCCCTGCAACTTCATCTGGGCCAGATAGCTTTTCTTTATTATTTTAAAAACTGTAATCCTCACCCAAGGGTATGTTTTTATTGATTTTAGAGAGAGAAACATCGATGCAAGAGAGAAACATCAATTGGTTGCCTGCCATAAGCACCCCAACTGGGGATCAAACCCTCAGCCCCTTGGAACAGGGGACGATGCTCCAACCAACTGAGCCACACTGGCCAGGGCCATATGGCTCTTCTTAATCAGAGGAGCAACAAGGGCTCTGAAATGGCACATCATCAATGTCTCTCCTTACCTCAAATGGACTTTTTCCTAAAAAAATAAGGTAATTTAACTGGGGAATGCTCATTTGTATAGTAGAATGCTAGCCCAACTTTGTCCTGGCAGAGTTTACAAATTCAAATGTTAACACAAGGATCTGGAGCAGGGAAGTTGCAGACCAGATATGTGGTGATGAACGGGGGAAATGGCAGGAAGGCCTGGTCCAAAGTCACTCAGATTCAGTAGTCTGACGGCAAACCAGAGGGCCCTAACTTTCTGGCGCATCTTAATGGTACTGTCTGTATCCTAAACTCCTAACACCTTCCTCAACCATAAGATTGTCTTCATGGAAATGTATGAAAAAAAAATCTTAGAAGTAGAGCAATATATAATAATAATTATAGTGGCATTATTATTAATGTTCGTAAGTCCTGTGAAGAGGGCCCATAGTCCCCCAAAGGGAGATTAAGCAGGAGAATGCAAAGTCACAGATGAGGACATGAATCTCATTCTCCTGAAGCAGCAAGGATCCTTTCTGCAGCCTTGGGGATGTGTGTCCACAAAGCTTAGCGCTATGCACACGTCAAGGATAATACATCTCCTGTCTTCCCAGCAAAGGCAGCCCGTTACTACAACCTGCTCCTCCCGTTTTGCAATTTGCTTTGGTCAGTATTTTCTTATTCTGTTTTTTTAATTGAACTTATTTGGGTGACATTGGTTAATAAAATTACATAGGTTTCAGGTGTACAGTTCTATAATACATCACCTGTATATTGTATTATGTGTTCACCACCCTAAGTCACGTCTCCTTCCTTCACCATCCCTTCTTCTCCCCCCTGCCCCCCTGCCACCTGCTTTAGTCAATAATTTCTTCAGCTAGTAAGAAAGCTAACTGACACAGCTGGAATGGGAAACTGGTCTTCGAAACCTGTTGACAAAATAAGCTAAAACGGACATGTATGGAGAGCTGGGGTCAGTATTATTAAAATAATTTCTAGATTTTAAATAGCTATTGTTTGGTTTCCAGTGTTCTAGAAATTCAGTGGTAGCTGAGAGTATCATATAAGAAAGAGTAATAATATGCAGTATTCCACTGATTAAGACTGAGCTGGGACGCTTATAATATTCTGACTCCTGCTGCTACTCAAAGTAGTCTATACAGACCCAGAATATATGAGTCATATTATGAAATACATGTTTCTAATATTTAATCTAAATTTCCTTGCCTTAAAGGATATCAAAAAATGTCAACATATAATAAATATAAAATATTAGTGTGGTTTTTTAAATACCTAGCAAAAATAACAAAAGGTATTACTTGTGTGAAGAAAGCCCATGTTGGTTGGGCAGTCCAACCACAATACTCAGCAGACAGAGTCTTGTTTCCAACATACTGAGTAGGACACATCACTACTCAATAACCACTGACTTTCCCTGGGTTTATGAGTTTATGGAACTCTAAGAGGTTATGTTTCATTACTGAACTGCATTTTTAAATGATATTTTCCAAAATCTGTTTTAGAAAAACTTTTTTTAAATCAAATTAAAAAGAGGTGCCATTTTTTCCAAATAGGTTTGGGTAGATCAGTGTTTCTCAACCTGGAGTGCTTTTGTTCCTCCCTTTCTCTCCGAGGACATATGGCAGTGCTTAGGCTGTTTTGGTTGTCAAAACTGAGGAGGAGGGTGTTACTGGCATTAGCAGATAAAGGGATTCTGCTAAACATTTTACAATGTACTGGGTAGATCCATACAGCAAATAATTATGCAGTGCGAGATGTCCATAGAACTGAGATTGAGAAATCCTGTTCTAGATGAAGGCTGTGTGATGCTATTAAACTTCAGTATAAATTCCAATTGAGAAATACCTGCTGCTAACTTCTAAAATTACATTTATTTCAAGAAAAAATAACTACCATCAAACCTCAGTTCTCAAAAGTCTCCTATCTGGGACAGTTCGGTTCTTGACCAAGTTGTTTATGGAAAAATGTCTTGAGTTGACGACAAAACTTCGGTCCTTGACCTGACAGCCCTTTCCTGCTGATATATCAGCATGACAAAAAGTGTCTCTCAGGCCACAAACAAAGGAAAGTGTGCCAGTATGAGTCATTTTACCCCTAAACCTGGCATTGTGTTAACATCTCAGGAATTTGAGCTGTGAATATTTTTAGTTTTTTGCTTTTTGTTGCTGGACAATTAGCACAATTTTAAAACATAAAATGGCCATGAAGAGTGCTAATGTTGCTAAGGGTGTGAAACAAACAATGATCCAAGGCAATTGAAGAGGTAAAAAAAAACCTTGTTGATCTGAATAAACAAAAAGAAGTTGGCCTGTGATGGCATTTTGGAGGCAATGATGTGAAAAAGGGAAGATGCTGCATGCTGACCTCCTGAAAGATATCCCTGGAACGAGTGCTGAAAGTGACTCAAGGCTAGTAGGGTGGTTTGATAAATTAGAAAAGTGTAGATTCAACAATAAGAAAGGTTAAAATTGACTCATTTGGGGCGGGGTCTAGAAATAATTTATTCAATTTACATTATTTCTAATGGGGAAAAGTTACTCGGTTTTCAAACAAATCACTTATTGAACAACTTCCAGAGCAAATGAAGTTCGAGAACTGAGGTTCCACTAGTCTTATTTACTGTTTTTAAATAACCTCTTACATTTGCCTAGCATTTTATCATTACCAAGTCCTTTCATTTGCTTTAATCTCATTTGCTGCTCATAGCTCTGATGAAGTCATCTTTTTTCTGTTTTACTATCAAAGGGTCACACAGATTCAAACTCTGGATGGAAAATCCAGTGGCCTTTTTGCTATCCTGCAGTTGCAGTATTCTTGTTAA